GTAGGTAGGTAGGTAGGTAGGTAGGTAGGTAGGTAGGTAGGTAGGCAGGTAGGTGGGTAGGTGGGTAGGTGGGTAGGCGGGTAGGCGGGTAGGCAGGCAGGCAGGCAGGCAGACAGACAGATATCTTCATTCTCTTTTATTGATATCAGTCTGATTTCCCTATTCATTAAACATCATAGTTATTTTTTAGAACCCTAGTAATCGAAATCCAGACATCTGGAAACTGGCCTGTTTGGGGAAAGTTAACCTCTGTTAATTTTATACTGTATATAGTTCTGAACTTCTTTTTTTTTTCTTAGCATTCTATCATATATTATATATAAACGATTACCATCAAGAATATCCGCGCCTGCAAAACAGAGTTCTGAAATAATGTCACGCACTTCTATTTCATCAGGAACAGAGGGTCCAGGAATAAGGATCCGTCTGTTTTTATCAAACAGAGCTTCCATAATGGCAAGAAAAATTGATGAATTGCAATCAAATATTTCCATTAGCAACCGTTCTGTGATGGTACGAGGCCAAGGCATCTAAAATAAAATAATATCAAGGATCATGTTGTATTTCAAATAAATTGAACTATAGTAATACATATAGTAATACAGTTACCATGACTGCTGAATGTTATATTGTAGAATTCGGTGTCAAGCGAAACTTGGCTGCCATTTTTAATCCATTATAAGAAGCAAAATGTTACAAACCTGATTCTTTTTTTTAAAAAAAAAAGAATTGTTGGGAGGGAAAGACAAAACATGCTGCAAATAGTGTGCATATGTATAACACATTATGCCATTTAATTATTAAAGCTCATTAAAGCCTTTATACCAATGGGAGAGGCAAATGAGTAAGATTCAAAAGGCTAGTAGTAAAAGTTTCTACAGCCAGGCATTGACAGCAACTGGATTCTCAATAAAAATTCCTTTCTGGAGTTACAGCCTTCTGAAAGCCAGATTCCCCTGAGAAATCTACACATCAGGTAGTGGTTTCAAATACATTAGTGCTTATTTGTAATTTCAGTCAGCACCACTGTTCCCTCTAAGGTGCGCGCGTGCGCGGCCGCGCACATGGAAAGAAGGCCGCGCAC